CATTGACCGGGAATCAAACCCTGGTCTCCTGCATGGGAGATGAGAATTCTGCCCCCAAACCACCACGGTCCTCATTGTTCATCTCTAATGGCTTCTAAGACTTTCGTTTCTTTTTTAAAGTGTGCCCTTCCTACTATACCTCTTTCTCCTTTTCTTCACATTGATGCTTCCTTGAAGAGTCGTTTGCCCTGGGCGTCTGAACCTCACACCTCTTATTCACCACTCAGCCCACCGCATCTGGCTTCTGTCCCCAGCCTCCTGTTGTATGCTTCTTGTTGTTGTTGTTGTTAGGTGCCGTTGAGTTGGTTCTGACTCACAGCGACCCTGTGCACAACAGAACGAAACACTGCCCGGTCCTGCGCCATCCTCACAATCGTTGTTATACTTGAGCCCATTGTTGCAGCCACTGTGTCAATCCATCTCCTTGAGGGTCTTCCTCTTTTTTGTTGACATCCTACTTTACCAAGTATGATGTCCTTTTCCAGGGACTGGTCCCTCCTGACAACATGTCCAAAGTATGTGAGACATAGTCTCACCATCCTTGCTTCTAAGGAGCATTCTGGCTGTACTTCTTCCAAGACAGATTTGCTCGTTCTTTTGGCAGTCCGTGGTCTATTCAATATTCATATCAAGTTGTGTGGAACCTGCTAAACTTCTTGTATTGCCATTTGGTAGCAGTTTTAATTTTCTTGTTTAAAGAAAGAGTTTTTCTTTCCAACTCTCATGACTAAAGGAATTTATCTTTTCAGCTGGAGTCACATCATTGCACTGGGCTTCACTCACCCTGGTGATGTTCGAGTTTCTTTGCCTGCAGATCTCTGATTACTGTGGAATGAAATTTGCTACTGCTTTTTGCCAGTCACTGATTACCAATCCCACTTCAGTTGCTGTAGATGGAGTTGATGAAATGGTTTTGTGAGTCAAGAAACAGCATTCCATTGTCAGTATTATTGATGCAGAGCTTATATAAGTTTAGGGGGTGAGTGAGAACAAGCCTGGAGGTGAGCTGGTGTTTGAAAATGGAGAGGGAGCTTCATAGGAAACATCCCAGAGGAGGCAGCTTAAGGGTGTCCAAAAGAAAAATTTGATTAACGAGTCAGAGTTAACAGGGTTTATTGAGTGAGAAACTGGGAACAGGAGCATCCCAAATTGGAAACGGTAAGGGGGCTCAAACTTAGAGTTACAGCATCCTTTTAAAGCTTACTGGAGGAAGTGTTTTGCCGTTTGCTGTGGTTGGTTAATCACATCTAATTTTCCTTTCGTTTTGGGAAAGTTGGTCACAGAATGCTAAACTGGCTTATCTTGATTGGATGAGTGTTGCTCTCTCATGATGATAAGGAAAACTTGCTCAGTTTTGATTCTGTTTCTTGCAAACGGCCTTATGACTAATTTTTGTTTGGCTCTTGGCCTAGGGGAGCCATTTTAACTCTTGTCTCTACAGAGATTTTTCACTGGGTTCATGGCTTTCTCTAAGGGACTCTCTCGGGTCTCAGTAGACTTCTCAGAACAAGCACAACTTGCATCCAGGAGACCGAGTGAGGGGACCCCGGGGCCACAATCCCAGGGAAGGCATGGAAGACTACCCAAGTCCGGGGCCTGACCGCTACGAGGACGAGGACTGGAATGGCCTCCCCTGAGGCGTTTCTCCCCATCATCGCTGTGTCCTTTCGCCTTTGGGAGGAGGATGGGGTTGAGGAAGAGCGAGAAGTGCGAGAAGCTGGGAGAAGGGTTTGGAAACACTGGGTTTGTTCAGGAAAAGGAAAGTACGGGGAAAACCATCCCTCATAAAGGACCTGGTGAGTGCCCACCAAACCTAATCATTCATTTGTGGTTGTGATGTCATGGTGGTCCACCCTCATGGAGACAGCCATTCTCTTCTCCTCTCCATTCAGAGGGTCTGCATTGCATAGACATAGCTTCTCCTAAGGCCCTGTGTATGGCAGGGCTCTTGGAGGTACAAAACCTGGCATGGCTGTGCTCAGCTTTGTGGAGGGAGCCAGTGGGGGCCACATATGGCCCTGAGGAGAACATAGGGGAGGAGGAAGGTTAAGTAGGAATTGTCAGAACCCCTGAAACTGCAATGAAGGGGAAGAGTGAGAGCAGAGAGCTAGAGGCCACAGATAACAGGTTTTATTCCCGACTGCCAAGAGGATCTTACGACGTCTGAGAAGTGCGAGGAGCAGCGTATGATTGATGCCTTGCTTTTGTTTGTTTTCCCCATAGAAGGGCAAGTATTAGTTTCCTGTGGCTGCTGTGACAAGTCACTGCATAATTAACACTACCTGAAACACAGAAGTTCACTCCGTATCTCGCAGTTCTGAAGGCCAGGAGTTTCAGAAGTCTGAAATCACGGCATCGGCAGGACCGCACTCCCCCTGGGAGCTACAGGGGAGGATCTTTTCCTGCCTCTTTCGGTTTCTAGTGGCGCAGGCGTTCCTGCAGGAGCCCTGGTGGTACAGTGGTTAAAGCAATCAACTGCTAACTGAAAGGTCGACAGTTTGAAACCACCAGTGGCTCCAAGGGAGAAAGATGTAGCAGTCTGCTCCTGTACAGCCTTGGAAACCCTATGGGGTCGCTATGAGTGGAATCTGCTCGATGGCAGTGGGTTTGGTTTTTCGGAAGGCATTCTTCAGCCGCATCACTCTACAAGGACACTTGGGGTCATAGGACCCACCTGGATTTAAAAAACAAAAACAAAAAACCAAACACACTGCCGTCGAGTTGATTCTGACTCTTAGCGACCCTGTAGGACAGAGTAGAACTGCCCCATGGGGTTTCTGAGACTGTAATTTTTTTTTTTTATTATACTTTAGGTGAAAGTTTACAGCTCAAGTTAATTTCTCATACAAAAATTTATACACGTGTTGTTATGTGACCTAGTTGCAATCCCTATAATGTGACTGCACACTCCCCCTTTCCACCCTGGGTTTCCTGTGTCCATTCAACCAGCTCCTGCCCCTTTCTGCCTTCTCATCCCACCTCAGGACAGGAGCTGCCCATTTAGTCTCGTGTATTTACTTGAACTAAGAAGCACACTCTTCATGAGTATCATTTTATGTCTTATAGTCCAGTCTAATCTTTGTCTGAAGAGTCGGCTTCGGGAATGGTTTTAGTTCTGGTTTAACAGAGAGCCCAGAGGCCATGTCTTCTGGGGTTCCTCCAGTCTCAGTCAGACCATTAAGTCTGGCCTTTTTACTAGAATTTGAGTTTTGCACCTCACTTTTCTCCTGCTTCGCCCAGGACTCTCTGTTGTGTTCCCTGTCAGGGCGGTCATTGGTGGTAGCTGGGAACCATCCAGTTCTTCTGGTCTCAGGCTGATGCAGTCTCTGGTTTATGTGGCCCTTTTGTCTCTTGGGCTAATATTTTCCTTCTGTCTTTGGTGTTCTTCATTCCAAGGCTGTAATCTTTAGGGAAGCAGACTGCCACATCTTTCTCCCATAATTCAGGGTAATCTCTTCTGAAGTTCTTTAATTTAATCATACCTACAAAGACCCCTTTCCAAATAAGGTCACATTTACAAGTGCTATGGATTAGGACTTGATGTCTTTGGGTGGCCATTATTCAACCTATCACATGCAATTAAAGCGCTAAATGAATTATCCTCACATAATTGTGCCATCTGTTAAAGGGGGCAGATCGTATCACCTCTGGGCTTTTAGGCTGTTGTTTATTCTTGGTACCTTAAGAATTTCATTGCCGAAGGGTGTAATTTAAAAAAAAAATGCAGCAGAGACAGACCCTGATTGTACTTTTCAGCATCCCTCCCTCCCTCCATATACACACGCACAGACACATACACACACGTATGTATCTCCATGACCCGTCTGTCAGTTTTTCCTACTGTGGTGGCTTGTGTGTTGCTGTGATACTGGAAGCTCTGCCACTGGTATTTCAAATACCAGCAGGGTCACCTATGGTGGACAGGTTTCAGTGGAGCTTCCAGACTAAGACAGACTAGGAAGAAAGGCCTGGTGACCTACTTCCAAAAAGTAGGCAATGAAAACCCCATGGATCACAATAGAGCATTGTCTGCTATAGTGCCAGAAGATGAGCCCCCTGGTTGGAAGGCACTCCAGATGCACAGTGGCTGCAACAATGGACCCAGTCGTACCAAACATTGTGAAGATGGTGCAGGACTGGGCGAGGTTTTGTTCTGTCATATGTGGGGCTGCCAAGAGTTGGAGTTGACTCAGTGGCAACTAGCAACAATAGTTCGCCAAAGGCTAGAGGGAAACATTCAGGGTCCAGAGGCTGCCTGACCTGAGGGCCTGGTGTAATGGTGGAGAAAAGACTGAGCAGAAGGGCCAGGGATGCTGCACCCTTGGACGTCGCATCCCCCAGCCCCCAGCCACGCCCTAGACCTGAAGCTGCGGGCAGATTTGGCTGTTTCAGAAGAGGGGGCCAGTGGGGGAGACCAGACCTGGAGGGGATGGTGGAGAGGCCTGAGAGGGGGTGGGGGAGGCCCTTTGCTTCCAGAGGACTTGGTATTCACTGACTTCCCTAGAACCAAGCTGGATGTTAGCGCTTTGCTGAACCTTCCAGACAGTCATTCAAGTTTGCTTAAGTGAATGGCATTCTTTCTCTTAATAATTGAATCTTTTGATTTTTTCCCTGATGTTCTTTTTTTTTTCCTTCTTTCCCTTAAAAAAAAAAAAAAATCAATTGCTGTTGAGTTGATTCTGACTCATGGCAACACCATGTGTTACAAGGTAGAACTGTGCTCCTTAGGTTTTTTGATGACTCGTATTTTGGAAGTAGATTGCGGGGCCTTTCTTCTGAGGCACCTCTGGGTGGGTTCCAACTCCCAACCTTTTGTTTAGCAGCTGAGTGCTTAACATTTGCGCCACCCAGGGCCTTTTTTACCTTGATGCTGTTTAATTAAGGTTTCTCTCCCGGTGTGGAGAAGTCACTAGGTATTTTCCTGGGGTTCTTGTTAACAGTCAAGCAGTGACTTTTGTCTACAGTGTCTGATCGTAGCCGTGTTCTTGGTTTTCCCTTAGGTGGCCATAAAAGTCATCGATAAAAAGAGAGCCAAAAAGGACACCTATGTTACTAAAAACCTGCGGCGCGAGGGGCAGATCCAGCAGATGATCCGCCACCCCAACATCACCCAGCTCCTCGATATCTTAGAGACTGAGAACAGCTACTACCTGGTCATGGAGCTGTGTCCTGGGGGCAACCTGATGCACAAGATCTATGAGAAGAAGCGGCTGGAGGAGTCTGAAGCCCGCAGATACATCCGGCAGCTCATCTCTGCAGTCGAGCACCTGCACCGGGCTGGGGTGGTCCACAGGTAAGGGCCACGCTGCACAGGTGACCGCTGGTTCTGCGCTCCAGCACGCTCCAAGCATGTCTGAACAATTGCAACATGCTTTACAGTTCTGCATTCCTGTTCTCTGGAATTGTTTTGTGGGTTGATGCTAGCGTGTGGGTTCACAAAGTTGAGTCAGGAGCCAAACTGTCTGGGTTTGCATCCTGACTGTGTTGTTTCGTAGCTGCGTGACCTTGGGCAAGTTACTTAACCTCTCTGAACCTGGGTTTCTTCATCTGTAAAATGGGAATTATAATGAATCTTGGGATTGGTGTAAATGAGTTAATATATGTGTCTTAGCTTCCTAGTGCTGCTGTAACACAAATACCACAAGTGGGTGTCTTTGAAGAACAGAAGTTTGTATTCTCACAGTTCCAGAGGCTAAAAGTCCAAATCAGGATCACAGCCATGTGGATTCCTTCCTTGTCAGTAGCTCTGGATGTTCTGACGACATGGCGCCTGTCTTCCCCAGCATGTGCATGCTTGTCTCTGTGTCTATGCTGCTCTTAATGTAACTCAGAAGTGATTAGGTTTAGAACCACCCTACGCTGGTATGACCTCAACTGACTGACTGATTACATTAGATTATATTGCAACATGGAAGCTGATCACGTTGTATTACATTAGATTCCGTCTACAAGTATGGGGGTTAGGATTCCAACACATATTTTGGAGAATGCATTCCATCCATAACAATATGGGAAGTGCTTGGAACTGTGCCTAGTACATAGTAAGCGCTGTGTATAAGCTGCTCTTCTTCTCATTGTATTTGCTGCTCAGTGGTTGTGTTTGATTGAATTGAATCACTATCTGAATTATGAACTTGCCCTTGAAAGTAAGGGGCGTTTCCCATAAATCACACCAGCTTTATTTTGACCTATAGGGTCGCTATGAGTCAGAATCGACATCACGGCAACGGGTTGTCAATAATTAGGAAGATCAAACTTTTTTTTTAACCAGCGCATTCCCTCCAGGGGGGACCTCTACGGGGAAGAGAACAGAAACAGCATTGTCACCATGTTGCCATTAGCTGGGGGGCGGGCAGGGGGCTGCTTTTAGTGTTGGACTGAAACAGAATAAACTAATCAAATAAACGTGCCCTTTTTTCCCCCCCAAAAAGTGTTGGCTTCCCCAGCAAATGCACAGTTCTTCCTGCCTGAAATTATCATGAAAAATAGCCCTGGGGTGTTGAAAGAAATTGGGGCCCATTTAATGGATTCTCCTTTTGAAGAGGTAGATCAAGGTGTAAAGTATGTGTGTGTGTGTGCGCGCGCGCGTGTGTGTAAGACAGCTGTGATTTATATGTATATATTTTTAGATAAGTCACCATAAAATTCAGTCGATTTTAGTATTTTCGTGAGGTTGTGCGGCCATTACCACTGTCTAATTGTAGAACTTTTTTTCACCCCAAAAAGAAACCTGATACCCACCAGCAGACACCCCGTTCCCCCCCACCCATCAGCACCTGACACCCACTAGTCTACTTCCTGTCTCTAGCCAGTTGGGGTCGAGTCGAGTCGACTCTTATCATGGCGAACCCGTGTGCGTCAGAGTAGAACTGTGCTCCACAGGGTTTTCAGTGGCTGATCTTTCAGAAGTAGATCACCAGGCCTTTCTTCTGAGGTGTCTCTGAGTGGACTCAAACCTCGAACCTTTCAGTTAGCAGCTGAGTGCGTTAACCATTTGTGCCACCCAGGGACTCCGCTGGCTCTCTCCCTATTTGCCTATTCTGCACATTTCACAGGAATGAAATCATACAATATCTGGTCTTTTGTGTCTGGCTTCTTTTACTTAGAATCGTGCTTTCAAAGTTCATCTGTGCAGTAGTATGTATCAAAACTTCACTCCTTTTAATGGAGGAATAATATTCCATTGTATGGATAACCAGTTTGTTTATCCATTCTTCAGTCTGTGAACTTGTGGGTTGTTTCCACTTTGTGGCTATTGTGAATAATGCTGCAGTGAACATTCGTGTACAAGTTTTTGTGCGGACATATGTTTTCACTGGAATTTCAGTGGAATTGCTGGGTCATACGCTAACTCTACATTTAACCTTTGGAGGAAACATGTATGTTTTCTAAGTTGAACATCCTCTTTGTCTTCTGATGCTGCTGTAACAGAAGTACCACACAAATGGGCAGCTTTAAAGAACAGAAATTTATCACACCACACTTCAGGAGGCCACAAGTTCAAATCCAGGGCACTGGCTCTAGGGGAAGGCTCTGTCTGTCGGTGCTCGGGGAAGATCCTGGTCTCAGCTTCTGTAACCCCGACATGTCTCGGGTCCTTGGTGATCCTCACATGTGCTTCTGTCTTCCCTAGGCTGACTAGCTTTTCTCTGGATCTAATCTGCGCCTTTTATATCTCAAAAGTGTTAGGTTTAAGACCCACCCTACACTAATATGGCCTCATTAACATAACAAAGAAAACCCAATTCCCAAATGAGACTACATCGGCAGGCATTTGTTGTTGTTAGATGCAGTGATTGTGAGGGTGGCACGGGACCGGGCAGTCTTTCGTTCTGTTGTACATAGGGCTGCTATGAATCGGAACCAACTCAAGGCACCTGGTATTGTTGTTAGGTGCCGTTGAGTTGGTTCCGACTCATAGCAACCCTATGTACAACAGAACGAAACACTGCCCGGTCCTGCGCCATCCTCACAATCGTTGTTATGTTGCCACGCTTGAACCCACTATTGCAGCCACTGCGTCAGTCCGTCTTGTTGAGGGTCTTCCTCTTTCTCGCTGACCCTCTACTTTACCCAGCATGGTGTCCTTCTCCAGGGACTGATCCCTCCTGATAACACGTCCAAAGTAGGTGAGAAGTAGTCTCGCTATCCTCGCGTTTAAGGGGCTCTCTGGCTGTACTTCTTCCAGGACAGATTTGTTCGTTCTTCCGGCAGTCCATGGAATATTCAATATTCTTCGCCCAACACCACAATTCAGATGCGTCAGTGCTTCTTCAGGCTTCCTTTTTCATTGTCCGGCTTTCGCATGCATATGAGGTAGTTGAAAATACCATGGCTTGGGTCAGGTACACCTTAGGCTTCAAAGTGACAGGTATCGTTAGGATTCTAACACTTGTTTTGGGGAGACACAGTTCAGTCCATAACAAACATCCGATGCTGCCTTCGATCTGTTGGAAAAGCTGTTCATATTCTGATGGTTGAAGAAAGCGGCCCTAGCCCTTTCGTTGATAGGCTTTGGTGACTTTCGAAGTGGAGAGGGCCGTCTCCTTACTAATGGGATTAGAGCCCTGGGATTCTCTCTGCCCTATTGTGCCCAAAGTCCTTTGCTCAGGGCTTCCCCAAGGCCAGCCTGACCAAGGCGCCATTCCGGTGGATCCTTCTCTCACCGGGTGGGGGAACCTCTTCACGCACACGTTTCCAGTCACACGTGTTGTCATGAAATCACACTGTATTCGAACTCTGTGTTTGGATCAGTAAGGAAGGGAGCATTCCGAATTTCAAGTGAGTCACACTATTTTTGGCTTTCCTGACAATACCCTCGTGTCGTCTGCGCTGTCATAGCTCTGCCATTATTAGGAAATGACAGTCTAAATGTGCTTGGGTCTGTCTTTGTCGATTAAGATGACAGACGCAGAAACCTCACGCATGAATCGGATTACTGGCCGGGCTGGTCACAGCTGAAAGTAGAACCAGGAGGCTGGGACTCAGGGTGTTGTTACAAGGGCTGTGTGCTGTCAGAAGTAAGACGAACGCCAAGCTTCTCCAGGTGGTGAAGACGGCAAAACAAATCAGGTGAGCGTCGTGCTTTGCACGCTGGTCTCTCCCACAGGAAATTCTCAACAACCCTTTCCAAGTAATTTTAACAAACTTCAGTCCCTCTCAGTGCAATTACTGCCAGAATGTCAAAGGAATGAATTTATTAATGTTTTGATAGCAAAGACCGTGCACTTTTTCTGTCTCTGATCCCAAGCTTTCTACTTTTTCCTGTCTCCTTGGATATATGTTCGTAACCCAGTAACGGCAAGGGCTGGGATCTTTTGAAGTCAGGGAAGACTAGAAATACAGGTATAGCTTAGAAGAGAAATTCTTTGTTTTTCTTTTTAGAAATCATGTCAATGAGTGTCAACACATTGGACACGAGAGTTTGAGACCTCACGTTAAAATTTTGTTTAGAATATAAGCATGGCGGCCTTTAACTGAATCTCTTGACTTTCAAAGACTCTACTGCTCATTTTTAGCATACGTTGACTGCTGCTGTACTGTTTACTATATGTAGCCCTTTCCAATGGTGGAAACTTTTCTTCTTTATGCTCCAAAGGTGGATTGAATTTCCTAAATTATTTTGAGGCTAGAGTTTTCAAATTAATATGAACATGTAGCATTTTCAGATGCATTGACGTCCCTGGCGGGAAGATTCTTGAGCACATAGATCAGATAATCTAAGAGGATTTAGAGTGAATTTTTGTGGCTGCATGTATGAAATGATTTAAAGGGCTTTGGTAATGTGGGATAGAAGATGCTTTAATCTTCCGATTAGACTGATACCACATCGTAATTACCTAATGCTAGTTGAGTCTTTGTTTCCTGTGGTATTAAATTTATATTTAATTATTGAGCCAGAACTATTTAAATATCATTTGGAAGCAAATCTTTAAAAATGATATAAATATCACAAGCAGGAAAAACAGGTGAACTAAAGCAGATCCCCTTAGCCGGCAGAGAACTTCAGTTTCAGCTGGACTTGCAGTAACCTCTGTGTCTTTGCTGCAGTAGGACCGGCTGCCATGGTGTTGACTCCAAGTCCTGGGAGCCCCACGTGTGTCAGAGTAGAACTGTGCTCCGTACGGCTTTCAGTGGCTGAATTTTCGGAAATAGATCGCCAGACCTTTTTTTCGAGGCTCCTGTTACTTTTAGCAAGTTAGAGTATGGTCTAATGTCTTCATTAGTCCCCTTTAGGATTGCCTAAGGGACTCAGCATTTCAAGTATAACGGCTCTTTTTTTCCCCTCAGATA